CTAATTTGACAATTTGATGGGAACCTTTGACTGTTTGAATGTCCGATTCCCATGTTTTAGATGTTTGGTCATGTCATGTTATTACTGATTTGTGTTTTCCTGGAGCCATCAGTAAATACTGTTATGGCATTTGAAGGCACTTCACTTACCATGGGTTTCTCTCTGAAGCTCAGTTTTGCTTGCAACAGCAAGAGGTGTTACATCTCTTTGCCAGCTGGAAGGGAGAAAAAAAGTTTTGGGTTTCTTTTGTCTTTAGCATGTGTTTTTCACAGAGGCATGTACAGCTTTCTAGTGATTTAAACAGCTTGTTAACTACACAGAAGCTTTGTATCACTTCTGTGAATGCTTCCTATGCAAAACTCCTCGAGCAGCCAAGGAGGGATATCCATACCTTCCGTGCCTTTGAGGAGGGACAGGAGAAGAGGCCCTGAGTCAGCTGCTGTGCCTGAAGAAGTGCCAGCCTTGCAGCAACCACTGCAGCTTCGGGCAGAAGGGTGTGGAGGTACGGAACTGCCAGCACAGATGGATGTGCCAGATCCTCAGAGATGTGAGACAGACACCTCAGAGGAAACTTGTAAGACCAAGTGACAGCACCAAGTGTGTTGGAAACTATCTGAACAGAATGTGTGAGGCAAATTAGAGGGATTTGTAATTGCAGCACAGCTCTGCACTCAAGATTCAATTTCTTTCACCAAGGCAGCAGCCAGGTGAAGAATGGTTTGGGTTGGAAGGGACCTTAAAGAAAGTCTTAGTTCCAACCTCCCTTCCACATGCAGGGACACCTTCCACTATCCCAGGTTGCTCAGCGCCCCAAACAGCCTGACCTTGAACACTTCCAGGGATGGGCAGCCACAGCTTCTGTGGGCAATCTCTTCCAGGGCCTCACCACCTCACAGGGAACAATTTCTGCCTAATATTCAATCTAATCCTGCCCTCTTCCAGTTTAAGGCCGTTCCCCACTGTCCTGTCACTACATGCTCTTCTGGAAAGGGAGTTTTGGTATACATAATAAATTGATATAAAAGATCTCCACAGCAACACCAACCCACACTGTGCCATTGGCATAAAAGCCATTAAAATCAATCATGGTGTCTGGGAATGAATAAACACCAGTAATTTGCACCATTAGGGCTTAGCCCAATCAGTGGGACACAGATTACTCCTCATCCCAGCCTTGAGAATAATTCCCATAAATCAGCACCAATTTCATAAGGAAAGTCACTTTATCCATTTCCTGAGATCTGGCAGTGATTGGGTTTCTTTCACACGGGACAAGAGGAGCTGCAGTGAGGGTTGGTATAAAAGCAAAATCGTGATCTGATCAGCCTAGCAGTGAAGTGACAGCAGCTGGAATATTAACATGGAAATAAACAGCTTCTTTAGGAATGGCAAGCAGAGAGTGATGTTTCTTATCAGTGACAAGTAGACATGCTGAAGACTGAAAGGTCAAGAAGAGGAACCCCTTGGAGAAGCACAGTCAGTGATCAAAGACAGGGAGAAAAAGGTAAATGCTGTCGTGGTAAGGTCACTGAAGGAGATCAGTGGAGGAGGCTTTTTGTGAGCAGCAACTGAAGTCACCAAAAGAATCAATGGAGCTTTGGTGGTATCCAGAGCCCTTTTGGGAAGGGAGAGCACAAACCTATTGCACAAGTTCATGGAAATGTTTTTATGCAAAGGGAGGAAAACACAGCCCAAAAAGGATCACTCCTTATTTTAACTGCATGGAATAAGCCACAATTTGGACAGAATCATATTTCAAAATGATCTTTGGCAGAGAGGAAAAATCAGAGGAGAAAGTAAAACAGGAAGGTGGCTGATAAGGGCAGTGCTAAATTTTGCAGCCAGGCAGGAGGAATAATCTGCTTGAGTGGCCATTACCTGTACAGGAATTGTGTGGAGTGGAAGGGATGACTACAGTGCCAGGCAGGCTCAGTGAGTCAACAAGGCCCTGCTGTTGTGTAAAAAGCAAACATCATACAGGGTTAAGCAAACAGAGATCCAGCCTGCAGGACCCATGTGCTGTGGGAGGTGCCTTGTCCCACCTGGAATGATGTGGCCCATGTGTGACGTGGCCTGGGGATCACGAGAAGTTGTAGAGGCAAATACAGACCAGGAGTAAAGAGTGAAAGAAGTGAAGCTGTCAGAGAAGAGAAAACAGACTGTCAGTAACCTTGCTCAAGTCAGCTACTACAAGGAGAAATAATATAATTTGCTGCTTGCTCTGCACTGCAGGTCTGTTCCCTTTGCTGAAGATGTTTTTTTGGTGAGGTGTAACAGCTGCCAGCACACGTGTGCGTGAGAATCCCAGGGCTGTCCAAAAGACCAAAGGCTGGCCTACTTGGAGACCGAGCAAGGAAGGCAGTTAAATGTCTCTTTGTTGTAGTCATGAAAGGGTAAAATATAACAAGTTAAACCCTTGCAGAATGAAAAAATGGCCCAAACATTAACGAGACTGTTACTTGGTGAGACTTTGGAACTTCCCTCACCTATCTCCAGTCCAGCACTGCAATAATTAATGTTGCATGCAACCCCCAAGGCAGTAAGGGCTGGCTGCTCACTCTCCACTGGTGCTTTGTTCAGAAATCACTTCTTCATGTCCTGCCTAGAGTCCCTTTATCAACTCTTCTCTCCAGGACTTTTCTTCCAACACCACAAGAGCAAACAATTTGCATGTTCACTGAAGAGGAAGGAAAAGGGATGATGGAGGATGCAGAACTGTTTTGATCCATGAGGTTCTCTCTCGTTTCTCTCTAGGACAGGAGCAGTATTAGCTCTCAAGGAAATGGGTGGCAGAGAAGGGAGGAGCAGTCACTCAGCTCCCAGGCCCAGGAGCAGGCTGGTGCAGAGGCTGCAGTGGGAGCAGCTCCCTCACCCCTCCCTCTGCCTGGCCAGAATCCCAGACAGCGCCAGGAAGACATGAGAAGGATCTGAAACCCATCCAATATTCTGAATAGGTAGCAAGACTTGAAATGAAGCCAGGCGCTGGCAAAAGCACAGCAGGCCTCAGCCTGGCAGCCTAAAGGCTTTTCCCTGAAAAACAAGGAGGCAGGAAGACTCCATTGTGTCCTGCTACCTTGCACCCCACTTTGTCTCGCTGCTCAACAGAGCAGAAACTAATTTTTTTTTTCCTCCAGACTTAACCACACGTGCAGTCATGGAAGTGCAGAGCTGGAAGAGCCCCACGTTGCTTGGGAAGACAGTGTTCTGCAGACCTTTGTCATTAACACACAGGTTTGTCCCACAGGAACACCTGGATCACATTAATTATCTCTTCCTAGGGAAAACAGCTCGAAGAATGCTGTTAGGGCACTTGGATCAAAGGGGCAGCCACACACACAAGCTGCTGCCCACCCCTCACTCACATCCCACCCCTTCATCAGCTGTCCTGTACACACAATCTTGTTGGAAAGCAAACACCCAAACACCACAAATTATGCAGAAGTACCAAACCCGATGCTTCTCAGAGCACCAAGAAGCCGGTGCTTGCATCTGAACAGGAAGAGATAATCAGAGATAAGCACACCCTGCCCCCTCCAGCCTTTGACACCTCAAAGGAGCCGCAGGCTGCTGGCAGTGACCTGGGCTCTTGGCTGCCACCCTTCCCCCCATCCCACACATCCAATTTACAGCTGAAACTTGAGATCAATTGAATGAAGGCAGAAACCATCAGCAGGGAGACAGGGACCTTCTAAAGCAGGTCTGCTGCTGAAGAACCACAGCACTGCAGAGTGGGACTGTGCTGGCCTCTTGCTCGCGGCTCTTCTTGCTAAGGTTAGAATTTTGTAAAAAATGAAATGTGAAAGGTTAATGGGATCAGAAGATTTTGGCTGATGAGCACATTGCTGACTAGGAGGGACTGTCTACATAGCTGAGGAGATTTGCTGAATTTTTTATACACTGTGCATTTAACACAATGAAAATCACAAAATAGAAGAACAATTTGGAGACACACTGACCACTGACAGTGCAACCCCCAGACTGGAAAGGGCTCTGAGCAACCTGGTCCAGTGCAAAGTGGCACTCCCATGGCTGAGGGGTTGGAACACGATGGTCATTGAGGTCCCTTCCAACTCAAATTATTCTATGCTTCATAAAAAACCAGTTAATTGGATGAATTCTGACATGCTTGTGGATGGCTTTAGAAAGCACCAGGTATCAATTCAACGTGAAGACACATTAATTTTTTCCTACAGACATCTGGATGTAATTTTGGTATTTTTTAAATTGAAATCCATTTGCTCCAGGGTAAGACTGTACAGTAACACAGCTCGGCTTCAGCCTTGCAGTAAGTGATAAATGCAGCTGCAAATACTCTCTCCTGTGACAGCCTTGCCACTCAGCCATTACTTCCTTACCAGCTAAAAACAAAACACCAGCTCAGTTCTGCTTTTCAGCTGGAACTTTTCCTGATCAGGAGTGTTTTTAGGGAATCTTCAATACAGCAGTATCTGGAGAATGAAGTTATTTACCCACAGCCTCCCCAGCTGCCATGAAAGCAGTTTCACTTCTAATGTATCAAAGACAACAGATGCGGTTTAAGGTGCTGATGTACAATTGTTAACACCCAAAATTTTGCAGCCTGCGTGGTGCAACACCAAGAGGAATCATCTTTAAAATGTCATGACCCCCCTTTGATTACATTTTTTTTTTTTCAATTAAACACATTCTTTCTGTAAAAAGCTTTCTTGTCCTCTGCAGACCACCACAACAGAAATTTGCAGGCTCTTCCTAACCTTAACAAGCTAACCAAAAGCTTTATCAATTCAAAGAACCCAAACCAACTCCCCCCAACTCCTAACCCCAAGCTGCACTCTTAAAAATCCAACTTGATTATGTAAATATGGAGAATCAGGGTTATTTCAGCTGAAGACATGCTTCAGCAGCTCTGCAAAGAATTGCTCAAAACATAGTTTAAGATATAAGAATTTGAAACTTTAGTCTATGTCCTCACTAGATATTTAAAGAGCAGCATCCAATCTAAAGGAAAGGGATAATTTTTGTCAGATTCTTATAAAAAAAGGCTTTATTTTGAACAAGTTTTCTCCATTTGGTTTTACAGTCTCAACATACATCATATTCATGGACAAGCAGCATTTTCACAGAATAAGAGCCAAATACAAAGAGAAAGCCACTTGGGATTAACAGTTTCAACCTAATTGACTCAGACTTCAGAAAATCCTGTATGCTGTCACTTATTTGAGGTAAAGGAATTCCATAAATTAAGATCCACTGTTCAACAGAAGAGTCAACAATGAAATATTTGAGAAGTAAGAACCTTGGGGAGGAGAGGGAAAAAACAAATCTTAAAGACATTGTGGGCAACAAGAGAAGGGGGAGGTAGGACTTGCACTTGGTTTGTGTTGGTGAACGAACACTCGGGTCTGTCAGGTGTAAATGTTTCACCAAATTGGTGCAGTTTAGATTTCAAATTTGATGAATTTTACTGGTAGCACAGTCTCAAAAGGAGAACCTAACAAGATATGTCATGAGCTTAGTTCATATGCTGAATGCTGTCACTAGGCACCCATTGGAGTATCCAGTAAAATCCACTGCTTTCAGTGCCCATTCCACCACATTCCAGTTACTTGGGGAATTTTTGGGCAGCTGTTCAATCAGATCACAAAATTATACATTTGGCAGAATTCTAGAATGCTTTCTTCAGTAAAATTGTATTAGGGAAGACAGAAAAATCCACCTTCCACTATCTGTTCATGCAAAAATATACCTGCAGTGAAACAGGATTTAGATAAACAGATTAAAGCCATTGCAGGGACACATTTGTACTTGTTTTAAACTAACTTTAAAGAACAACTAACTTTTAAACTAGCTTTATAGAGCAAATCTTAAACCTTTGAAATACTATCCAAATTGTATTAGATACTGTTTAAAAACCAAAAACTATCCTCACCTTTTATATTTTGAGATTTAAATTAGCTCACCAATAATCCTGAATCTCACCTAAGAGAAATATGGAACTGGATTAATATCCTGTAAACTCTAAGAACTAAATTATCAATGTGAAATTCCTAATGCCCAGCAGAAATACATTTCATCTCAGTCATTTAATGCCAGGCACTGCTCAATTTCTTCCAGTAAAGCATCATTTGATTTAAGTACTTACAACAAAACATCATGTGGAGATGGGCTTCACTGCTTGAGTGATATTTCCTCAAAAAGGGTCCTGGCACACCAAGTTCCAAAGTCTGGTTAGCCAAACCATCCAGTGGGAACAAAAAAAATTCATATTGAACTGGTGCAAGAATTTAGTTTAAAAAGCAAAGCAGATTAATTTAGAAAAGCTCATTTTTTGATAGTTTTGTTTTCCAAGCTCCAGTGAGAAAAATGGTTTTATACTTAAGAGGCAGAAAGAAGCTGGTTTGTTAATCATCTGACTAAGTCATGCATCCATATCCTATTTCCATTTTCCTAAAAAGAATCACCAAGGAGCAGATTTATCATTTAGCAAGTTATCTGGCTCAGAACTAAGGAAGCTCTAGCAAATTCTCTCCCCCACAGCAAAGCTGTGTTTTATTGCGTAGCTTTGTGTACATACAGTTCTGTTTTGCAGAAATATGATCAACGACCAAAACTTCTTGCTACGTTACACTTTGAATAAAAGCAGACATGAAGGAGGTGAAACTGCAAGTCAACCATTGTACAAACTGTTTCTCAGAATGAACATTTCCACTGCAGCTTGAATGCTTTGGGACACAACCTACAATGTCCAGCGACTGAGCAATTCAAGCTCAAATTAAAAAAAAAAGGATTTGTGAAGGAACTGCTATCTGTCCATTAGCTTTCATCACACTCCAGACCATCAAGAAGGTGGAAATAAGATTTATTTTCCACTAGCATCCAATCAGTTTTTTCTATGACCTTGAATGCCAACAAAATGCTTTTTATTAAATGACAGATGAGAGAGCATAGATTAGAAAAAAAAAGGCTGTTAAGAAATTTCATCCTTGCATTCACAACCTTGCATTTCCTTCAACAGCACTTCTCTATTATGTTGCATGGAGCATAATTTTGGTGTTTGTTTTTTTTTTTTTTTTCCACAAAATCCTCACCTGCCTATTATGAATCATTGCAGTAAAAATATCTTTTTCCACACTGCACTAGGCAACTTTCTTTCCAGCTAAAGAAAAGAATTTAGTCAAGAATTATAAAAACCTGAACTATGAACTCTGGCACAGCCAGGAGCAGCCACTCAACTATGCCAGAGTGCTTAGAAAATAGGCAGCCAGGAGTAGCAACTCAACTACTCCAGAGTGCTTAGAAAATAGGCTTTAGATTTTACACCAAGAAATTGGATTTATTGTAAATGCCACAGTCACATTGATAGACAGAGCACAGACTTCTGGTAACAAACAAACATACATTTTTGTAACTAAGCGTTTCTACTCAGTAAATAAATTCATTTCGCACAGCCTTCCTCTTAAATGTGCCTAAACTAACCTAAATAAGCAGACAGCATAGCAGAAAAGGGAAACTTATGTGAGTAACTGTTTCTTAAGCAGTATATTATTTTTACTATGTATATAATATTTTATATTATATACACACACATTTTCATCAACAGTTCAAATGATACCCGAATAAAATTAAAAAAAACCCAAACCAGAACTGGCGCTCCTCCAATACATTTACCACCTTTCCCTCAGGCAGACTTATCCAGGTATTTGTCAAGATAGAGGAATGACAGTTAAAAAGACTCCCCCCAACAAGAAACAAGTTACACAAAGAATACTGTATCACTACAAATTTTTTATTCAGAAGCCCATCTTTAAAAAAAATGTCATTATGAACTTGTTTGGTCAAACTACAACACTTTCTAGCAGACATACAGTAAAAATGGCATGGCTCAGAATCGACCGGATCGCTCGCGGTCCCTCGACCGCCTCCTGTCGCGCTCGCGGCCGCCGCCGCCTCCTCCACGGCCGCGATCTCTGGATCTCGACCGGCGCTCGCGGGACCTCGACCTGGATCGGTGCCTTCAAAGAGAGTTTGGACATTTTATTGTTTCACCCCAGGCAGTGATTTACTTGCAGTACCACACAGTGGGTGGAATTAAGAATGGGAGTGATGAGGGAGGAGGAAGGCAGTGTGTCATTAGAAGGATTGGTTAATTGGCACTTGGGCTGCAAAGCACAGTGTATTTACAAACTGCCCAAATTTCATGCTGGGAGTCAGCACAAACAGGTACAAGAACTGGCTGCTCCCTGCAGTCACCTCTTACAATGGATGTGCCAACCCCAAGGAGAGGCACGGTTACGCTGCTGTTATTTAAAGCAGGAGAAGGGAACACCTGCTTTGGCAGACAGGAATAGCTCTTAGCAACACGCACCAAAAGCCTACAGCTGCTTCTAAGTCCACTCGTATTAAATCAATTGCATTAATTAGCAATTACAATCCAGTTCTCTTGTTGCTCACTCTACATGATTTCTGCCCCTCCAGGACACAAGCATTGGCAAATTATCTTCCCTGCCTCTTAGGTTGATAAATTCAGGAAGGGAGCTAAAACCAGCCTGCACATACTGCTATCACAGCCACTCCCAATCAGCATTACTGAATCTGAGAGTTCCAGATTTGCAACAGTGACCAAAAGGTTAATATAAAAACACACTTGGTCTTTTTCATAAAGCATTAAAATATCTGAAAGATTTACTTAGCCACAAATACATATGGCTAAGCAACACAATCTGTGTTTTTCCAAGTTAAATTCATCCTCACAGATTCTGAAACACTGCCAATTAGATATTTACAGGAAAAACACATTCACAATCCCAGGCTCCTTCTGTGTCAGAAATCTACAAAAATCATACTCTATATAAAAGCAAGATGAAAAATTTTATATGCCTATCCCAAATACCAAGGTCTTAAATGCAATCAGATTGAACCCAGTTCCAAGTGAACCATCATAGTAACAGAAGTGGTAAAAGCCTTTCTGCAAGGTACCTCACTAAATGAATAATTTAATACATAATAAAATGTCTTGATCTTTTTTTTTTACCATTAGGTGAAATTACTTTTCCTTTCTCCTACTGGGAATTCCTATCAAGAGACACGCTGTGAAGCTAAAAGTGAGCTCCATACAGTGACTGGCTGATATTAACAGTAAGAAATGAATACAGGCTACACCATTTCACCATTAACAGTTAAAGGCAAATAAGGCTGGGTCCTGAGTACAATCTGTAGATATGCTTGACTGCAAATAATGCTGAAAGCTGCCAATCTGCTATCAAAAATGCCCATTGGCCAGCATCTAACAAAGGCCATGAGCAAACACGTCTAGAAGAGAATAAAACAGAAGAAGCATAAAGCAACTTCTACCAAGTGATGTCCATCTGTATCTGAACAGGTAGGGCCTATGTCCTCAGTAACTCAGTGAGTCTTCTCCTCCTTGAGCCCTGCCTTCAGCACAACCCTCAGAATCCACAGCATTGCAGAGCAAGAAGCACCTAATTTCAGAGCCCTACTTCTCTGTTGGAAACTGGCCACTTGCCAGCTTGACTTGATGCCCTTTGGCATGTGCAAGAAATGCGTCAGAAAAAACAAGAGGACTTGGCACAAGTTTAAAGATTTGCCTTCAGATTTTTCAGCAACTGATCCTTAAATTACTTGTTTTAGCAGTGTTTAAAAACAAACTTACTTTTTACGACGCCGCCCATACAACTCGCGCCTTAACTCTCGAGAAATGGGCTTCAAATGCATAAAGTTGCAGAAACCTCCTCGTGTACACTCTCTGAAACAGAATTCAAGAGGCTCAGTTAGTGTAGAGCTGGAAATTCTATCTGCTGCCCCAACACCTCTAACATTAAACACAGTAAATTACGAGCATCATTTACTGATGCTGCCGCACTTTGAGGAGAAAATCCCCAAAAGAGGCAGGAGTCAAGAGGCTCACTGCAGGTCCTCCACACTACTGACACCTGAAGTGGTTTCTACATGAAACCCCTACCCAAGCACCCTCCCAGCTGCCAAAGGCACGAGCAAGGCCCTGCTGTACCCCATCTCGTATTGACGGCAGCAGGCCTCTCTGAAGTCAGTCACAGGGGAGAGCTCGGCATGGATGGGCTGCCCGTTGAACCAGCGATTGTTCAGGTCGATCACGGCCTTCTCTGCATCTTCTTCACGGCGGAACTGAAAGCAAGATCAGCCTTTTCAGAGCAGCAACAGGAGCAGATAAAGATTCCTATCAAATCACTTGTGTGGTATCTGAGGCTCAGGGTTCTGGTAATGAAATTAGAAGCTACTTCAGGTTTCTTGGACAGTCCATCAAATCAAGGGTAAATATGGCAGCTTTTCATTAGCTGGGACTCAAGGGCTAATCAAATAATTGATTTTCCTCTTCATTATGCTCTGGTTGGTCTTTCAAGTGGGAAAGGTAGTCAATAGAAGATGCTGTGTTTTCTTAGTACAGCTTTAAACCAAGAGAATGCTTATAAATACTTTCTGGAGCACCACAGTCCTGATGTAATGCCTTTTTTCAAACATTTAAGAGAAATTTATATAAAAACTGGAGCTCACATTCATTTAAATGAGAATTTACAAAAATCAGATCCTGTTTTACGATGACTGTAAAATTTAAATTTGAAATGCCTTTTCACAGCTAATTTTTTAAAAACAACTTTTTTTTTCTGCTTAAGACCTACACAGTCCAGAATTCCAGGTGTGAAAATACTTTCTAGCTGAGGGAATGTACAGCCAAAATATTCAAAGGAACTCTCTCGCACCTCCCCCACACTGTGAACACACAGTAAAATTTCTGCAGGTGACAGCTTTGTACTTGTTATTCAAGAGATACCAATGACTTTTTAAAGGTAAACCTAAGTGCTCCAGTTTGCACCTTGAACCACCCAGCTATTGCCAAAGCTAACTTGGTCACAGATATGGTATTTAACTGGGAAGTTAGAAAATTAATGCACCTGTGGCATATAAAACCTCTCTCACACTGATGTGCTTAAAGGGCAGCATGATGCTAAGACAGATCCCAAATTAACCCTGCCAAACTAAACAGTCCAGTAGTGGTGACTATGTAAAAGAAAAAAAAAAGGTTGATCTGTCTGAAAATTACATGGATTTTGACTACCAAGAAAGCTTCTCAAAATTCATTAAAATTTCTTTTGGATTCCTTCAACATTTTTAAATTGTGAAGTTGGAGAGTAGCTTATATACTGAAGAGCCTTCCTATCAAAATAAAATCTACAATCACACAGTAGCTTTTAAAATTCCAAATCAATAACCACCACCCCTCGTGAGTGCATGAACATCTCTTCATCCTACCTTTACGTATACATTTCCAACTAGATGATCTCCAAGGTTATCACAAACGTTCATCTCCTCAACTTCGCCGTATTTCTCCTCCATTTCTGTGAAGACCTCCTAAGCACAAAGCAACCCAGCAAAAGTTTGCAGCACATTACTTGGAAGTATAGAAATATTGCATCTACCTCTAAAGTAAGAATAAGAAAGACCTTCTTTGGAAAAAAGCAAGACCACTTGATTTATTTTTTTTACATTTTGGGATTTAAAAGAAATACTTTCTTGGCCATCTATAAGCACAGCACTACCAAGATACAAGAAAAACCTATGGAAAACACACACAGCATTTACAGAATACACAGGATGCACTACAAACACAACACAAACTCTGATGCTAGCTTCAGGTAATTTGTTTTTATACAAATAATTAAGAATACTTAAAATTTATAAAAAATGAGATTATACAATCAAAATGCTACGTCACTTAAGCTGCTGATGTTAAACAAAGACTATTTCAAGCACTCAAATTAAGGTCAAACTAACCAATGGTTACACCAGGAAATATTTAATACAAAATTGTATGTTTTATAGGAACACCCAAGGAAATAAGTGTTTTTTCCCTGAATCTGTCTAATTGTGCTATCCAATTAACTTATCTGTGGTGACTAATCCAGGGATACTGTAATGCTCCTTTACCTACCTCAAAGAACTCATCGTAATGTTCCTGCATCTCCACATCGCTCACAGCACCTGCAAAAGTCAAAGAGTCAGATCGATTAGAGCCTGCCAATAAAGAAGGGGAGATTTGATCAAACTACAAAACAATCTAGAGGCCATCTGGAGCATGAGAGACACCATATAGCATGGAGCTAACTAATAGGAATATTGCAAAATAAGGATGTGTGAAGAGCTTTGAGTCCCCAAAGTATCTGTCAAAATATTACATTGGTATGATCAAATCAAAGCAAGTTTTAATCAGAGCCAAAGCTGTATGCCACAAATTTAAAGGGGAAAATAATTACTCTGAAATATCACTTAGAATTTAATGTATAGTCCCACTCTCTAACTAGCAACAATTTTACCTAAACAGAAGGCAAGTGCTTTGTTACAATTCCATACTTTAAAATATTACTCAAATTTAGTATTCCTCTTCCTAACAGGCAGAAATTTATGCCTACTTCTCCAGCATATCCACTAGAATTTGAGAGCTCACAATGTAATTTAGCCCAGAATTTTTTTTAATTTGCTGAAAATAGTCACTGAAATGACACACTTTTCTCAGTGCAATCAATGCTTTGCAACAGAGAGCCATTTTTCTAGTTTAAGTTTGAGTGTCACTTCATTTTTCTGTAGTCCTGCAGAACACCTTTCAGTGCAAGACAAGCCAGCCTTATATTCCAGTTAAGATTATTCTCATGCTACAAGCTGGACTTCAAAAAACGACTGCTGCTTGCCTGCTGCTACAAAACCCAAAATAAGTGTGGCTTATTTTTCAAAGCATTAAATGTATAAAAATGAGTTTGTTTCTTCCAGTCTACAGCACTTTAAACAAGCTGTATACATTAAAGCCATTAGATTAGCTCTTCAGCAGTTAAGTGGTTTATTAAGATCAAGCGGAGCAGTTTTACAACAAACCCCGCATTTTTTGCTAGAAAAATATGCTAGTGTTTAAAATTAAAAACCAGACTGGTTTAGTTAACAGAATGTGAAAGACAAGAAACTGAGCCAATAAAGCTGAGTTTATTCATTTTCAGGCTGGTATGAAAAATTTTTTGGCTATTGTTACCACTTGGACAAACTTTATGGTTTTTTTGAAAGGCTCTAATATTAACCAGCCACACTCTTTGGAACTGCAGTTCCTGTTCTTCCACCCAGCTCACCTCCACAAGAGGCTAAGGGGCATTTGGTTTATAGTTTAGGCTGACAGTGTTTCTGCATTTGAGACGTTTGCTTTTAAGAAATTTCTTCTCCCCTGTGGTTATAGCAAATTAAGGAATATCAAACGTTAAACCAGTAATTCTAGGTAGTTTAATACTTAACTATATTCCCAAGGTTCTGCCAACATCACTGATAACAGCTGACTAACACTTAAGGATTTTTTGTTTTATTTCTAAAGGTATCACAGGAGCTCTGGGAGCCTCTGTGGGAATAACTACTTTTTACTAGATGGAAAAGTGCTAATTTTTTTTTTTTTGTCAAATTAGGATATCACAGGCAACAGTTAGTTAATGGCTACTTCAATGACCTTCCAAAGTGGGAAGTATACATATGCACAGGCTTTACAAACATCCATATTCCAGGGCTAATGGCATCTGAACCATGAGAAGCCCAATTACTAATTAAAATACTCAGGAAAACTACTGCTGTTCCAAACTAAGGTTAATCCTCTACGACGGCAATAGAAAGGAAGACAGTTAAGCAACAATGACAAGGCATTAAACAGCTACCCAAGTTATCCATTTAAAATACATGCAATACTTAAGTAGGGACAAGTATCAAAAACCAAGGAGCCAGGAGTTTCAGCAAACCTACTGCTTGCAGAGCTCCAGCTCTACCCCAGGAGGTACAGTCAGGCTCTGGCACACAGCTACTCGCTTGTCACAACAAACTAGAGTTGGATACCAGCATTTACAACACTGGAGGATCTGTGCAGGACTCTTGCAGCTGTAAATCTAAACAGCTCCACAGACCAAACTGCTGTAACTCTGTGCAAATTAGTTACCAGCGCATTGAGAGCTCAGGGAGTGTCAACACTCAACCAGAAATGTTTCAGTCTACTGAAACAGCAGTAACTACTAAGCATCTGCAAGCAGAGAGCCTACAAACCAATGGAACTGGTCAAGCATCTAGACAAAATGACACAGCTCATTTACATGTCCAGCTTGACTGTGTGACAAAAACACAAATTACATAACAGAGCCATTATTCCTTTTAGAAGCAAGAGAGACAGTGACTTTTTAAGTTAGTGGCCAATTCACAGAGCACTTCTAATCATATGCTGGTAACTAATCTGAACTAGTCTATAAACCAACAGTCAAAAAAAAAAAAAAAAAGAATAGCCAAACAAAGCTTTATTACCACACAGTAAATACTCACTTCAACAAGAAAGATTAGTTAGAAAAGAACACCGACCCTTTTTTGGTTCTAAAACTTTTTTTTTTTAAACTTATTTTAATATTGATGATTCAATTACAATGATAAATCAGTTAATCGCCGATCAACAATCCTGGGCATTAACTGCTGCCAGTCTCACAGGAGGTGTGTTTGCTTATGCCCATTTGTATCTCAGGAGGAGTCATTAAATTACTTCATGACCATACCCAAATGCCTTCCCCTCCTCAAAAGTACTTTAAAAAAATACTTGTCTTAGGTAAATATGGCATAAGAATTTGAATTTTCCAAGTATGGAAAGAATTTTAAGTATGCACCCATCCAAAAAGGACAGCTGCCAGAAGGGGTTAGTCAGTGATGGTGTGTTCTTCCAAAGTGCACTCCCTAAATGGAAGCTGCATTAACCTAGGACAAATTTATGCATGCAGTCTGAAAGTTTCAGTTCAAGTTCTCTTAACATTTACAGAGCAGGACATTTGTTCTGAATGAAGTCAATGTGTCACTGTCCTGCTCTTTCCGACAGTGGAACCTAATGGATAGCACAAAACATACAGAAAACCATTCCTAGGATGCAGGCAACTGGCAGGGAGAGAGGTGACAGGAAGAAAGCAGTGCAACCAACACTGCTTCACAGGGGAAGTACAATTTTAACCCTTTTTGATTTAATAGTTGGTATTCAGATTCCCCCATAGTTTTGGGAGTAGGGAGGAAGGTAGTGGGACAAAAAAAGTTGGGATTTTTTTTTGTTTTTTTGATTTTTTTTGTGTTTGTTTTGAACACATGTAACGAAACGTGGTCAGTTTGATCTGTTAAACTAAAATGGCAGACCAGTTTAAGTCGACACTGAGCTCTGACAATCAAGCCCAGGGAACCAGTGAAGGAACTTGTATGAACTTACAGCGCAAACCGTCAGCAGACTGGGAAGAGTTTTGAGGGTTACGGTAAATGTTCAAGAGGGCAATGGTCTGAAATACAAAACGCAACAACTTTATATTATGGAAAATAATTTTAACAAGAAACTGGTTTCCTTTAGGGTCGCTTTGGTCGAGTCTGTGCTGAAAGAGAGGTGGTTATTCTCTCCCAAGCAGGAGAACTTGCACTTAGCTGGTGACCTTTCTACATCAACCTAACACTGTAAAGTAATAGAGATCTCATGATACTCCATTATTGTATTCTTGATTTCACTCTGTTCACCAATATTACTAGAGAGGGGTTTTGCATCATTTCACACAGCTCTGAAAATAGGTGGTATCCAAATGCAGCAGTCACGTTAAAAACATAATAATTTGAATTTGGTATTACCGAATGGCTTCTTAGCAGCAAAATCCCAGGAAAGGAAGTAATACAATAATTAGAGCATAACATGAAATCTCCATCATCCAAATGCAGCAGTCACGTTAAAAACAGAATTTGAATTTGGTATTACCGAATGGCTTCTTAGCAGCAAAATCCCAGGAAAGGAAGTAATACAATAATTAGAGCATAACATGAAATCTCCATTTTCCTAAAAAAGTTAAGATGAAAGAAAACCCAGGTTTGGGACTTACCGTACATATGTACCTATTTGTTTTTTGGTTTTTTTTGGTGTTAAATCAAGAATTTGAGAAATGCCTGCATTTAACCCTTTCAAAAGAATGCAGTGTTACCAAGTAACCACGTTTCACTTTGCAACACAAAAGGGAATCTGCATCCAGTCCAATTTGTGCAGCCCTTTCTGCACTCAGAATTGCACACATTCCACAAATTCTTGATCTGTGCGCAAGAAGAGTTCCGTCACTTGTCCTGTTTGCAACAGCTTTATGTCAGCAGCTCAGAAGCCAACATTATTTTATCATAATTAGGAGTGGGCTCTTTAACACCATTCTTTAAAAAAATTTCTCCAACTGTGGGACTTACAGTGTGAGCCGTCAGCCGTCTGTGCACTGTTTTGGGGGTTACGATAGATGTTTTGAATCAAGATGGTCTGCGGGGAAAAAAAATAAAAAGGGGAATTCTACTGGCTGCTGTGCATATAATAGACAATTGCAAAGAGACAACTTGTTTGCAAACAGCTAAAAGTCATATTTTATCCTTAAGACTTCCTTTTGTATTTGTAGAGTATCTTCCAAAATTGCATCCAGACCATCATATTATGAAAACAGTTTTAATTAACCACCAAGAAAGAGCTGCGTTTGTCTCAACAGCTATCCTCAAAATGGGAGGTGTGAGGCCCAGTAACCTAAAATGTCACACGAGGTATTCTGGAGATGCCTAAACTTTTGAGACCAGATTCACTACTGCAAGTGTAGGGGGGAAAAAAAAATAGGTGTTATGTGCACAGCATGTAATACATAATGCCACAGTGTCCAAAATGCTACACCAGACCGTAAGGCCTTTAGGCAACTGCTACATCTCGTTTTGTGCATCAGGGTTTTCTTGGTGGAATTTCTGTTTAAATAATATAATAGCATCATAGGTTCACATGTTTCCGATCCTTCAAATAAGGACAATATCCTTTTAGCCCTTCTGCTTTTTACTTGAAGAATTAGCCCAGGCAGACTTGAAACCTTACATTTGTACCGTTCTTCTTAAAATCAAGTTGTCTGAAAAAACAAACCATGTTTAAGTTAGTAAACTAATATTACAAAAAAAATCCAAATGTCCATATCACTGTAAGCAGCTCAAAAATTGAGATTTGATTACTTAAAATACAAGCTCAATGTTAGTCAGTATGAATGGCAATCCCCAAGTAACTTTAGCTTAGACATTATAATTATTAGTCACATTAAGAATTCAGAGCTTAAAGAAGTCACAGGACCAGCAATGTCACACCTACACACAGCACCCATTTAACGTGTAAAAAAAATACAATTGTACCATCACATTTAAAGTCACACACTCGTTTTATTACAGGTCCAGCCATACCAACCAAGGCTTTGTGCTTCCGTGGCCCAGGTCTGAACTACCTATGCTTCAGCCTACAACTGGAGAGTGCCAGAAACAGGCATCTCGTTAGGGTGTTTCTGCTGATGGGGGTAATTTGATCACCCTGGATTGTGTGACCTTTCCTAACACAGCTCTTCTGTAAAGTAGCTGCACCAGCAGGAGCTGCACAAGGTTAAAACATTGTGCTGGTAACTATCCATTAGCAGGATCTCTGTTCTATTTTCTATCACAGCTGATTGTCAACCTGCACACAAATAAAGATTTCTGCAGACCCCACACAGTGCCAGGGACCTGGGAGATGTCACAGCACAGCTGCCAGCACGAGGCTGTGCAGTCCCAGACATCCCTGGAAGAATGGGATGTGCCCTGCTGACCCACTTCAGCTGGCATTGCTAACCAGTCTAAAGCAAAGCTCAAGGCTGCTCTGCTGTAGTTGCACACAAACTTTCATTGGTTTAAAAAAATGTAAGGGTCATGGGTGTTTTTGTAGGTTTTTTTTTTTTGTAAGCTTTTTCAACTTAAAAGACAATTACTGTAGAAAGTCTCTGCTTTAGGAATTTTTTTCATAGTCAACGACCTAAATTCAGGTCTCTGAATAACCAACTGCACTTCAACTTGTGCTCCATGTAGGTCAGCAACATGGGGTAGTTTTGAGAACGGACAATACTCTTTTCAAATACAGTGTCTGCATTACAAAATTTTAAAATCCCAGAAGCAAAGAGGTGGTTTTGTTGCTTAAGTACCAGAACTTCCTATCCACCAGTAACCTTGACATTCTCCCCTGGAAGTCCCCCTGCCCACTCACAATTTAGCTCTGAACCTGTCACATGGATATTTCTCCCCAACCCAGCATCAGTTCACATTTCTCATCACCTCTGCTCCTAAGCAGATTAAACAAACTTGCAGAAGACTCTGCTGTTATGTGAACTTTTTCTCTGTAGTTTTAAAACTACTACTGTAGTTAAAAATGCAGCAACTTTCAAAGGCACTACTGCTCATGTACAAAATTCCCAAAGAAATTCATCTGTGTACCTTGACAATCAGCACTTTGATAGAAAAAAGGAAAAAATACATTTATCCAGGAAAGTAATTTGTGAATATTGCACAGCTCATAATAATAACAATAATGAAAAGCCTGTCACTCCCTGCACCTTTTCAAATTTATTTTTGTTTCTGGCAGACATGCAGTCACACATCATGTCTCTTAACAATATTCACTGAGCCAAAGATTAAACAATCTGTCATGCCAATTGACAATCCACCCTCAGCAACCAGGCAAGTTGTTTTCAATAAACCATTTCTTCCACGTTCAAAGGAAGTATGCAAGTCACTCTTGAAACTTAAGAGCCTGGGTCAGAGAGCAAGTGACAGATGAGTCACTTTTATTCATTAATTAGTTTTATTTTATTATATGCATAAAAGATTGAAGTTGCCACCTTTGGGACAGGTGGAATGAGCTGCCTTTGTCTGTGATTTAAGAACTCTGGGATGGTTTAAGTGCCTGAACACCACTGAGAAGGCACACTCACCTGAAAGTTAGCACTGGTTGGTCTCTACTACAGGCAAGCTTACAACAGCATCGCTTCCTGCAGCCATTAAGGGTGACAGGAGATAATTAGAAATGCTGGGAGAAGTAAATGGAATACCCAAAAAAAAAAGCAAATACCCAGATAAACTGGGGCTAAAACTGAACTAATTAATCTGGAGCTTGGTAATTATTCACTTGTATCTGAGAATCTATGTTTTAAAGAAGCCAGAGTATATATCCACAAGAAAGAGAAAAAAGGGGAAACAAACCTGGCTAAATGTTGGTTTGTTGTGCAACCGAGAACATCTGTCTCCATGGCGACAAGCTCCAATTTTGAAATAAAATGAGCAGTTGACTCTGCAAGAAAAAAATGAATAAGGTAGTTACACACTGGCACAGAAAGCATTAATCTGCAAAAAAGCCTATGCCCTAAATGTCTTTATCTTGATGTGGACAAGTAACACAGAAAAAAGCCCACATCAAAACTGTACAGGAAAGCATTCCAACAAACCTGTCCATGTTCACTCCTTGCACCCCTAATTTACAGCCAGTATCTGACCAATCTCCCCCAAAGAGGTTTCATGATTCACCACACACAAGTGATCTCTGTTTTACTCTTCTGCTTCTCCAGTCTTGTCTTTCCATCAGTTTCAGTGGGTGATGGGAGAAAAACGGTCTGAAAATGGACACTGGGAGCTCTGGGGCTGAGCTGGGCTGCCCCGGGTCCAGGCAGTAAAATCTGCTTTGAAACTGACACAGCTGCAGCTCTCTCGTGTTTTATAAAGCACCTCTTTAAGTTGTACTCTAAGGGGAACTCAGGCTGCTACCAACACAGATCCAAAATAATTCAGGGGAGAGAAAATCACGTCACAGAAAGAATACACACCAGCAAAATAAATCCACTTAGTGAAGCCATTTCCATGAATACAATTAATGATTTTAAGAGCAAGCTGCTTTTTGTTTTAAACCACAAGCTTTTCTTGAATGATCCATCTCAGGACACCTCGATAATGACCTGGGTTTAGAAATGCTCCTGAAACTCCCACGAAAAGGTGTAACTCACACAGAATGATGAAAGAAAACCACAAGGAGTTTAGTTACCTTGACAGGGAAATGCAAAATTCTGAAGGGCAAGAAAACTATTATGGGCTATATATGGGTAAATGAAATATTAGAATTCTCCTGGAAGAAAAATGATTATACCCATAATTAACACCAATTATTTTCCACAATCCTGTGTAACCAACATCAACTCATGGAGGGGAGAATTATTAAAGTACTAAAGCACATCTGATCTCTAGCAAAGCATTCTACTGTAAAATTGCAACATGCTCACTCTTCATTATGTTTTTGAAAACAAACACTTAGCATGATAAAATACTTACTGTCTTTTCTGAACTCTAACCTGAAACAAAAAGAAACACCTAACTACAAAATTTCCAATAGTGCCTCCAACTTCAGCACCTTCTGGAAGGTTCCGTTTGCCTTTTTTAACAGAAAACAAGAGCTGCACAGGAATTTCATGCCTGATTAAAACTCTGAGACTGCAAAGCATTAAATTCCTATGTATCTCCTTTGTGTGAGAGGATGCTACAGTAACAGAGCTCAAAAGAGAGGCTGCCGACACTGCTTTCCTGGAATGGCAGCGCTACAGAGCAGAGCAGAAGCCCCACGGCCAGGGGCTGACAAGAGTAATTTAGTCCAGCAGCACATCGATGCCCCCTTTTCATTTTTACGAGTGGAAAAACACGCCGGTTTGGTCAGGCCGGTGGTGACCAAATTTTCGTTAGGAGGGTTTTGTGTGTGTGCTTCCAACAACCAGAGAAACTAGAGGCGTTCCCGGACGCGTGGAAGGCTGCAGGCAGAAGCCTGTAGGATCAGGATGCAGCAGTCGGGGAAATCCTCCGCACCCTGGGGAGGGGGGAGAAATAACCAGTCGCTGTCCTTGCAGCAGAGCGGGAGCTCTCAGGCTGCTGCGAGGCTCAGGGACACGAACAAAAGGGGAACAGGAGGAGGAGGAGGAGGCGCTTTCTGGCAGGAGGCGGCGGGAAGCTCCGGCACCCAGCGGCCCCGGCAGGAAGGCGCAGCCGCGGGGGAAGGGCGGAGGGAGGGAGGGCGGCAGCGCGCCACGAGGCGCGGCACACCCTCATGGCGGCCAGGGGAGGGCAGGCACGGCAGGAGGAAGAGGAGGAGGAAGAAGCGGGGGGTGGGGAGGGAGCGCCCGAGAACGGCCCCGGCCCGGGAGGGGAAGGGAAGGGAAAGGGGGNACAGTGCATATGCGGAGGGGAAGGGCCTGAGGGAGGCGATGGCGGCGGGGCTGGGGGGGAGGGGAAGGGAGGGGAACGGGCAGCGCGGCCGCCTCTCGCTCCCCTCTTCCCGCCGCGCTCCGGCGGGACGGGAAAGGGCGGGGGACGCGGCGGCGCCTCCCGAGGCGGGAGTGGAAGAAATGGGCGAAACGGGCCGGGGGTCCCCCCCGCGGGGAAGGGAGAAGGGGAGCGGGGCTGACCGCCGCGATCGGAACCAGGCCGCGCGTCCCCGCGCAACCCGCTACGGGCCTCCGGCCTCCCCTCGAGCTTCCCCCTCCCTCCCCGGGGGTGCCGCAGCCGCGGGGAGCGGGGGAACGGGGCCACTCACTTGTCCTTCTCGGTGCCGAAGATGGAGGCCAGGTACTCCGCCATCTCCCACCGCCCGCCCGCCCGCCGGACCGCCCCGGCGCCGCCGCCGCGTCACAGCGACCGCGCCGGAAACGCCGCGCTGAGGGAAGGCAGCGGGAGGCGGGGGCCGCACGCGGGGTCGCCGCGGCGAGCGCGCAGGGGCGGCGGGGCGGAGCCCCGGGAGGAATCTCAAGGCCGCGGGTTCGAGTCCCGCCCCCGGCGGGGCCTGAGGGGACGGGGCTGCGAAAAACGCTAATTACTTGGTTTTTAATATTTTAAAAGTTTAATAGTAGTGAAATGGTTATAAAAATAGTAATGTAATTAGAGTAATGAAATTTGAACACTTGAAATTGGGACAGTATGAGACAACAAAACCAAAGAGATACCAACGTCCAGGTACTTTTTTCTGGGCAACACAAGCCTGAAAAAGGACCCCCATTAACAGAGAATTAACCCTTAAAAACAATTGTTTGTTGCATATTCATCTTATACATGATGCATAAATTTCATTTAAACACAGTATTCTGTCTGGTCACTGTCAACTTCTCAATCTTTATGCTGTCTTCCTGTCTGAGTGAGGTGGGAAGAAGTTAGTTTTCTGCTGATAAGGGAGCAGTAAATTTTCTTTTTTCTGAAAGATTTAGGTGTCTTGCAGCTGCCATCCGGTGAGGACTTCTTATTCTTTTCTAAAAGAAAACATTCTACATACATAGTTGCTGTTTTAATTACAAAAGCTACTTTTTTGCTATGAAACTACATTTACTATGGTATTAAAATGTTAATACAGCACTACTCAATACAACTTCATGTGTATAGTAAATATCTGCGTAGAGCCATATAATATGCACTTTTCACAGGGGCCATGGGTTCCGAGTGCTGGAATAAAGGGATTGGCTTAAAGGTGGTGTGTGAGCACGTTCTGAAGGGGTTTACATAAAAAAAAAAAAAAAGGAAAAAAGAAAAAAAATCTTGCTTTTGAATTAAAAGCAGAGTGGAGAGTAGGACCAAATTCTTTCTGATCGCTATTTTTGGGAGGTTTCATGGAATTACAGGCTGAAAGGTGCAAGGCTGAACCCAGTGAACTGAAATCTTTGTGAAGGAGCAGCAGCTCACGTGGAAGAGTCCAATACTGTACATCACTGGAAACCACATCAGGAAATAAACTTACTGGTTCTGCTGATTCAGAAAACAAGACTGAGCCGTGTGTGAGTACGTTCTGAAGGGGTTTAGATTTAAAAAACCCCAAAACCTTGCTGTTGAATTAAAAGCAGAGTGGAGAGTAGGACCAAATTCTTTCTGATCGCTATTTTTGGGAGGTTTAATGGAATTACAGGCCGAAAGGTGCAAGGCTGAACCCGGTGAACTGAAATCTTTGTGAAGGAGCAGCAGCTCACATGTGGAACAGGCCAGTACTGTACATCACTGGAAACCATATCAGGAAATAAACTTACTGGTTCTGCTGATTCAGAAAACAAGACTGAGCGCTTGTGAGACAAGGAAAATTCATCTCAGATATTTTGCAGTTCCCTGAAGCAGTAACAAATCCACTCCACAGAGCTCACAGCTGTTCACAGAATCATGGAATGGTTTGGGGTGGAAGGGAACTTAAACCCACTCCACAGAGCTCACAGCTCCAGCTGGACTGTTCACAGAATCATGGAATGGTTTGGGGTGGAAGGGAACTTAAAGATCATCTCATTCCAAGCCCCTGCCATGGGCAGGGACACCTTCCACTATCCCAGGTTCCACTCCAAGCCCCATCCAACCTGATATTTCCTGCAATTCCTGATTTGGTTTGAGCTGTGGGCTGTCTCAGGACAGGGACAGACACTGCTCCATGTCCTGCCCTGTTCTTTCTGTGCTCTTTAGGGATGTAAAGCTCACCTGCTCCTTCCAGCAAACTTGCACTGATTTTTGCTCCGATATTGTTGTTAAATCCTTCAGCTGAAATATGTCAAAATACATTTTTCCTGGGGAATCAAGACACGTTTTCAATATTTGAAACACACTGGGTTGTTTGCTGGTGTGAGTCAGGGGAAGGGATCTCTGCCTGGCATGGTAACAGCAGCCAGTCTTTTTCCATGTTTCTTTCTTTTTAATACCTATCTGTAAATCTCAGGTTAGTGATTTACTGTGGGTCACTCCCTGCCCCAAATTGCTCAGATCTGTTGGGTTAAATGCTGCCACAGCCCCTCCTCTGTTTTGCTCTGCCTCCTTAAGGCCCACTGTCATCAACCCAGGACAAAACGGTGACACCCAGATCTGATTTGGAGATAAAAGGGCAGAGAGGGAAAATGAGGAGGGAAGCAGCTGGTTTTAAAAAAGGAGGAAAGGCAGAAAAAAACCTAATTGTGAAGCAAAAGAAAGCACTGCTTGGATACAGAAAAAAAAAAAAAAAGATTAAAACAAACACAGAAACTCAGTACATGAAGTACTTCAAACATTCACTGGGAAATAGCACTTTCTTGTTGCCAGTGCCCAGAACTATGTGCTGAAGAATTACCTGGAGTTCCAGGCCAGTGCACAGGACTTGGTTTCTCAGGTTAAAGGGATTTTGCTAACAGTGCATATGCAGGGATAATTACTGACCCACAGCCAGCAAGCCCTTTGAACAATTTTTCCAGCTCCCCGCTTGACACCTCTTGGAACAAGGCACAACTGTGAGGAAAGAGAACCAATTTAAGATGTAATGTCAAAAAAATAATCTGAGAAGGCAGCCCATGTACATTAGAGCAGAGCTGTAGCTGGGTAACCTCCTCTAATCTCCTTGCATGCCTATACTTCACTAATCACCATGGTTATATAAGCAGATCTCTGATAATATCCTCAATTATAGCAAGCCCAGGAGGGGCTGCACAGCACAGCAGAGGGAATGGGGGGGTTTGGAGCTGTGCCTTCCACGTGGGTCTGGGGGAGGACTGGCTGTGGCTTTGTGTGTGAAGGACTCTGCCAGCAGGCACAAGGGGACAGAGCCTGTCTGAGGTGCCCAGGGGAGCCCTGGCCCTGTGGGGACGCTGCTCTGGTGCTGTGGCTGGGGTGCACTGGAGCTGCCTGGCACCAGGAGCAGCCCCTGGGGCTGGGAGAGCGGCAGGGAGGAGGAGATGCTGAGTCAGAGCCCTGGAGAGGCAGCAGTGCAGGCACTGCGGAGCCTGGCTCAGGGATTTCTGTGTCTTAGGGAAGCTTTTCCTTGGAGAGGCTTTGAGATCCAGCCCCTGATCAGGAGCACTGTTGATTTATTATCTGTTAGGGAAAGCTTTGCAATTATAAACAGGAAAATTAATAAAGTTGCAGGGTTTTTGAGTTCAACACAATATTTGATGTGATTAGAACTTTTGTCATTCAAGCTGGGGTCAAGGCCATTGTGAAAAATGCCAATCACTTGTTTTTAAAATTTTTAAAGTTTAATAGTAATAAAATGATTATAAAAATAACAATATAATTACAGTAATAAAAATTTTGACAATTTGGATTAGGACAATACCAGACAATAAAAACAAAGAGTTTTGGATGGTTCTATGGGTACCTCTTTCTGGGCAAAATAAGCCCAAAAAAGGACACATGTTAACAAAGGATTAACCCTTAAAAGCAATAGCCTGTTGTATAGTCATACAGCTCATAAATGATGCATAAATTCCATTCAAACAAAGGATTCTGTCTGGTCAGTGTCAGCTTCTTCCTCTGAATCCTGACAGCATCTTCATGGCTGAG